TCCATATGGCAGTCATTAAAGTGCCCATGGCATGCTCATTTTGTTCGTTTCCAGCCATTTAATGTTTAATCTCGGGTACCCCTACATTAGCTTGGCACCCCTCATAACTCCAAATAGTCTGTAATTATTTCAAAATGATAACACCAGAGAGCCTCTCAAGAGGATAGTTCGTGAATGTGCACAACTCCTGTTGCCGGTGTTGCGTTGCAAGTGGACAGCAGGACCAGTACACCGGCAGCCACTGGTGGATGTCAGGGAAGCTCACATGAACGCGCAACGGCCTGGATTTTATGCCCATTCAAGGAGATCCTTAAACTATCATGTAATACTTTATTTTGGTAGAAAAAAGTCTCAGGAGCCAGAGTTTGCGAGATGTGTATATATAACCTCATTTATTGACCTTTAGGTCATGTCTAAGATGATAATTCACCACTGTAACATTGTAGACAAGTCAAAAAACAAGCAAAAGCATGCCATGGGCTCTTTAAGTTAAAGCTAACTACAAATGTTTAAGATAAGGAAGAGATGACAAATGTTGGACACAGTGAGAAAAGTAATGCTATTATTAGCATGCAAGCTAAATTGCTGGCTAGTGAAATCTTTTATAATGCATTTTGAAATAATGATGTCGTTACGGTGCATTATTGTTAATTCCACTATCCAGAGTGAACATCTTTAGCAGGATTAGCTAACTGAAGATATACGTGATTCTTCAAAAGTCGTATATTAATTAGCAAAGCAAAAGTGATGATTTTGCCTTAAAAGCTGGATGAAAAGAAAAAAAGGTAACCAGATGGACCTAGAGACAAGTAATAAAGCTAGTGCCAGGGAAGAAAAATTTTAGATAAAACTGAAACTTTAGAACATGATGGTAACATAGAAGTGATGCTGGTGCTGTTAATCAGCTTGTTTTCAGTCCTCTCCCATGGTTTCAATCTCCAGCCAGAGCCTGAGAACTGGGGCATGTTTGACTTTGACATAAAACCCTTTCATTATATTCTGGATCCTGCCAAAGCCCTGTGTGATCTGGCCTCTGTTAGCATCTACCCTCCACATGACTGTGCACGTGCACGCACACACACACACATGCTGTGTTTTCATTCATTGTGGGGACTTTACATTGACTTACATTCATTTCCTGTAGACTTATCCTAACCTTAACCATAACCACTACCTGCCTAACATCTAACCCTGACCTTAACCTAACACCTAACCCAATCCTAAGATCAAACCATGTTGCCCCCTTAAAATTCAGTAATTTCCTTGTGGGGACCAGAGGCTGGTTTCAGTCCCCATAATATAAGTAATACAAAGGCTCACACACTGTATACTCTCTCTCTCTCTCTCTCACACACACACACACACACACACACACACACACACACACACACACACACACACACACACACACAGTATGTTCTCTCTGCTCTCTATAGTATTTCCCTGCCAGAGCCAAGGAGAGTAGCAGACAAAGCTAATGTTAATCTCTAGCTGAAGGTCAGCAACATTTTCCTGCAAAATGAAGGTCAGGAGGATTCAAGGCAAGATTCTCAAATGTCAAATGGAAACTTGCCAATGTGACTAAGCAGTTTGTCTGACCTAATGCCTTACATGCTGCCAGGTTCATTAGTCTTTTGACCATGTTACAGTAACACTGTTTAATTGACTGCAAAAACAGTGATGGTTTGTTAATTAAACATTCTCAAATACACACAAACACTCATTTCTCACCACAAAATCAGCTCAGATCAATTTTCCACCCCAGTTCACAAACAGTATTATTCATTCACATCAGTGTCTCTCAGCTTCTAGTGCTTATCACCTAAACTGACCTATTCAAAGCAGGTTATGATTCATGCCTTATTCATGCCGGTATACAGGCTAAAACCAACTTTACATGCATTACTAAAGAATCTGTAGACAACGTCCTTGCTCTTTTCACTGACTGACCACAATTGGTTTGCTACTGTATCAGGCTTTTGTTGCGGGTGCGACTGTGGTTCGGTGGGTAGAACAGTTGTCTCCCAACCGGAGGGTTGGAGGTTCGAATCTCGGTGCCTACAGTCCATGCTTCGAAATGTCCTTGGGTAAGACACTGAACCCCCAACTTGCCCCCAATGGTTAGAGTTGGCGCCGCAGATGGCTGCCATTGGTTCTGTACCGGAAACAAATTCCTTGTGTGTAACATACTTGGCCAATAAAGGTGATTATCCTTATCCTCTGTTCTTATCCTTTGTTGTCTCAGTCCTCTCCTCACTATTTACTGTTTTACAGTCTTACCCATCTCTAGTTCAGTTACACTTAAAATGTACTTATTGTGAGTACCATTCAGAGTCAGTTTTACACAGTAGAAGTTTCAACCACACAATGTGTAAAACAGAAATGAATATAATTACATTTCACAGATAACCAGATAACCATGATCACCAATTGCCAGGATGCTAGGTGTTAAGTGAAAGAAAACTACCAGTGTGTACTGATTAGCATTTGGTTCTGGCAAACTGCTATACAGTAAGTGTGGCTAAACACTGCCCCCGATTCTGTAGTCTAAGATAACAGTTGTCAGTATATTGCCCTACAGACAACATTAACTACTGTGTGAAAAACGTTTTACAGCAAAAAGAATTGCCATTAAACCAAGTAATACATAAAAACAGACCTTCACGGACAGACTGGTGACCTGTCCAGAGTGTACCCTGCATCTTGCCCAGTATCAGGTGGATTAGGCTTCAGCCACCCTCTGAAGAATCTATTGAAAATGTAGTTTGTTTAATTCAGTCCAGAGTCCATAAGGGTTAAATATATCAGTTCTACCAGAGGATTCACACACGTATCATGCTTCGCACAGTCCTCCACGTCCTGCCTGAATTCCACACATGAAATTGGCATTTACTGTATGCCATTCTAATGTCATTTTATGAATAAAATGCACAGTCAGATTAAAATTCTTCCTCTGTCTGTTGTGCCACCTGCACCGTAAGGAGGATAACTATTTTCTGCATAACAAAGGATCAAAAACAGGTTGTGTTTTCTTACATTACCACTGGCCCCCGTTTTATTCTTAGATAACCCGGTCTTGTACATCTGCTAATTAGCTGTTGTAACCAGTTAGTGCTTATTGCAAGGCAATCAAGTAATATAAGGCAATCATTTTCCTTTTGTTATCGCATGAACTAGGAAAAATGGGGCTGCACACCTCTGCCAACTGCTGAATCTGATTAACACTATTCAACAAACAAATAATCATCAAGTATGGCTGACATCTGGGTAAAGTGGCTATAGGATTTAAATAGATGCAAAATTAGTGGTATGCTGGCTCAATCAAAACCTTTATAATGACTTTACTGATACTTGTGAGACTAACTTAATGAAAGTGATGTTTATGAGACTGATTTAAAAACCTGGATAAACTGTCAACTATTAAATTTGAAAAACCTTTGGGACACATTGTACAATTGTACTACAGCAACATGATACAATTTAAGGTACATACAGTAACTCAGTGGAGTCAAACTCCCTTTCATATTTTTCACTTTGTACAAAATCCTAATATTCCCAGATGGGATTTAGGTATTTTCCCACAGCCAACATCAGCAGGTTTCTAAATATTATCATTAACACAACACATTTTGAGGACTGCAAGGCTCTGGCAGTGGTTTATGTTTCTCTTTCAACAGTGTCAGTGGCTCTGCATCTTTATCTCTCTGAAGGTAGCAGAGGGTGAGGTGTTTTTCCAATGGCACTGCCTGTAAACTTCCATTGCAGAGAGGGGGATCCTCTCTCACTTTCCTTTTGACATTAAAAACAGATGTGTCTGCTGGGGGGTGGGGGTGGGGGCAAGGTTGTGTGAGAGTCAGTCAGATATGAGCGGAGAAGGAGAACATCCAGTGAGAGGACACAAGCTAAATGGCCAATATGTAACAAAAGTTGCTGATGCCTGACAGTGTGTTCATAAAGACAGTAAATATATAAGAGTACAGATAAGGTTGCAAGTTTATAAAGTGTAACTATGTATGTTTGAATGTATGTGTGGGCCTGGTATGTGCTGTGTCATGCAGTCATTGCTGCATCATTCCCCATCAGCACTTTCCTGAGAATATCAACAAAGTTGCTGCCCCCTTGTGGCAGTCTCATGTACCTACAGCCACTTCAGAAATAATTCATGAGTTAAGCAGCTGCTTGTCTTTACATGAAACCAAGTTTGTGTGTGACTGTGTGCACGCATGAAAGCTAAAACAGGGCATGAAACTTCCTTTGGCCTGGGTACATTTTTGTTCTACTCATATCAGATAACGGCCAAACTAAAATTGGCCCATGACCATATATGGAAAGGGAAGTGAGAAGCGTATGTACACGTGTGTGAATGACTGGAACTGAGATAAGTTTTGCTAAGTAGATATCAGGCTCACCTTTCATCCAATCTTGATACAAAATAGGGATACAGACACAAAATGTAAACAAGGATTCACACCTGAGACCTAAAAGTGTGTGTAGGCATGGGCAGGCATGTTATTAAGGTGTGGCCATTTAACCTCAGCCTGTGTGCTTTGGGATTTAAACTGCTGGGACAAACAGTGTGCTAAAACGAACAGTGTGTTCTTTATCACCAAATTGCCAGGGAAAAACAGATTGCACTAAACAGTCTGTAAGCAGAATGACACAGATTGGCTGTAATTTTCATCAGAATGAATGGAAATTGGCGTTGAGTGGAAGGCAGTGGCCAAGTATTTTAAATTACAAGTGTTGTGAATGTTTGTCTCAGGAACATGTTTGAGTGCTTTGACGTAAATCAAATTATACTGGTGCTTAAAAGAAGCTCAATTTAATTATGCTAAGAAAGTTGCAAGAAAAAAAACAGTAGTACTTCAACAAACAGTATAAAACCACTAGAAATAAGCCTCTAGCCTCCTTAAGATGCGTGTGCCCCCTTCTTGCCACTGGGGGAGACATGCTTAAAGAACATTACAGCCACACTGTATGTTTATGTGCGATGTACTTACAGGGAACAGCAAGATGGGGACGGTCAGAGTGACAGCAGTGAGAACAGCCAAACGGACCAGCTGCAGTAAAGTGTCAAATTTATACACCTTGGTGAAGGTGTGAAGCAGCTCTGCTTCCACATTATCTGTGTTGGAGTAGAAAAAGAGACACAAACCCAATGAAATGAAACAGTTGCACCAATGACAGATTTCCCTTAAGCTTAAAAATAGGTAGGGACATAAAATAGTAAAAAAATAAAGAATATATTTGTGTAGCAAAACTTTCTCTTCTTTCTTTTAGAGGGGCTTATCCCTTACTCCCTAAACTTAATTACTCTACAGAATATAAGGTATTCAAAACCAGCTCCAGCTTAACCAGACACAGCAGTAAAAAGCTATATTTGCATTAACAATCCAATAATGTCAAATATAAAGAATAAAGAATAAGGGACTGTTATCACACTGCATCTTAAAAAAGCAAGTGACAAACTTTGAAGCTATGATTACTGCTTGGGTGCATCTTCTCTTACCATAAAAGGTGAGGTAGCCAAACAGCGCTGATAGCATATACATGACGAGCATAGCCAAGATGGATAGGTTGGAAACGTTCTGCATTTTTTTTCTGCTGCGACTGAAGAAACAACACACACATTTAGAGAGGTCAGAGTGTGGCTGCAATCTAAGACTAGAAGTGTATTTATGCTCAAGCTGCATCTGTCCAGTCTTGGATGAGTTGCACTGTCTGCACATGCTGGTGTAATGTCAGACTCTGCAGAATATGATGCTCTGGAATGTGATTCTATGTACCCTATTGGCCACAAACTATACTTTATTCTGTTACAACCTCATACTACTTATTCACATGTGGTTTTAGAGACATAAATAAGCTAAAACAGACACAGCTCATTCCCCATATGGGTACAGTAAGTCCACAATGAATTGATCCTTTGAATTTTATTTTAGGATGTGATTATTGTGCTTTGCTGCTATATAAAGGGAAGGAGTACACTTACTCTTTCAGCTCACTGTAGATAGGCAGGATTTCAGGATGGCAGACAAAGGCAAAGGCCAGGATGGGTATAGTGTACGCTGTCTATAAAAATCAAAGCATGACATACTGACAATGAAATGCCTAGCTGTGTAACACTTTGCAGTGTAAATTTGTATCAGACATTCTCAATTTTATTTTACTCAAAACGTGACATTTGGAAGGCCAGGTTGTAATGATGTTTTCTGGATTAAGAACACACTACTGGAATCATCTTGCACATACACAATATATTATTGGTCAGCTACTGTCAGGTCATGACTCCAGGTATAATGTATGCTTAAGAACATCTCAGAACTAGTCCTTTGTGGTTGACTTTGATGTGTCAGTGTCAAGAGGGATTAGACAAACTATTATCACAGGTACGTTCACACTGCAGGCTGAAGTGACTCAAATCCGATCTTTTTGCCCAAATGTGACCCATATCCGATTTCCTTATGACAGTGTGAACAGCACAAATCCAATTTTTTCAAATCCGGCCCGGGCCACTTTCATATGTGGTCCTAAATTGGATACATATCCGATGTTTTGCAATGTGACTTCAGTCTGAACGGCCAGGTCGCATTTCATGCGATTTTTATGTCATTGAAATGCGACAGACGTCACAATTCTGCGCTGGAGGAGGCGAGGCCATAAGCAATATTTGTACTCTCCTCCTTCTTGATGTTCTTCTTCTTATTATTTCTTTATTTTGATTGCACATTAACTGGTACATCGCTACATACATGCTATCACGAGCCACATCCATTTTTATTTTTGCAAACACAGTACGCTGTGTCTGACGTCATGTCCTCTTCTGCGCATGCGGGTCACCTCAGGGCTGTATACCGTTCACACATGAGACAGATGGCAGTCGCATTTAAATGACAGTGTGAACAACAGCGCAAAAACAAAAATCGGATTTCGGCAAAAAATCTGATCTGAGCATTAAGACCTGCAGTGTGAACGTAGTCTTAGATACACCTATGTTTCACTCACATAGGAACCTTCCTATTTAAACATCTATTTTGCCAGTTCTTAGAAATCCAAAACAGCACCAAAAAAGCAGGTAGGCAGTAATCCAGTCTAAAGAAGAGCAATGCCTGTTCCTCCTTTGAAACATCATGAAAATCATAACCATGGTTAATCAGGTTTACATTAGCATTGCATCATCTTGATACAGACTCACACAAATTCCTAAACACACAAAAGTTAAAACACACCCTAACTCCCCAACTGTCCACATTAATATCATTCTGTGCCCCAGCACACCTGCATATGTACAAAGCCTGATACAGTAGGTGGCAGTATCCATGTAGTTGGTTTGCAATCCGCATGTACTGTATATACTGACAAATACTTCTATAAATCTCAGAGTTTTTGTATTTAGTATCCAGTTGTCTTTGTTGGCCCAAATTTTAAGCAAGCATTTTACTTCTTTGTTTCTCCACAAAGATACTTTTGCAGCCATGTTTTTTAACATTTACACCTGTTACGGTTTAGTCCCCCTCACCAGGAGGGTGAGGGAGAATTGAGGTAGGACTCCAAGATTGCTGACCCAGGTGCTAGTTAAAAAAAGGTGGTTTTAATGGTGGGGATCACAAAAAGGAACAGAGTCAATGCACACATACAACCAGGGCTGGGCAAAGACGGCTGAGGAGACCAGGACGACCAGGGGAATAAACAGGCTAACGGCAGAAACCAGGAGAGTGGGAGGAACAGGATGAACAGGTGAATAAACAAACTAACCAGGAGGATTGGCAAACGAAAAAGGAAATCCACAGCACAGGAACTGTCAGCGTGGACGTCTAGAGATGTGTAACACAAAAAAACATGTAACCAACGTACCAAATGAGATCCACAGCACAGGAACTGTCAGTGTGGATATCAAAATTAACGTCTAGCTAACCTAATGGAAAAAAACATAAAGAGATCCACAGCACAGGAACCGTCAGCGTGGAAAACAAAATGACGTATGATACATACCACGAATATAGGGGCTGTTACGGGGAATGCACGCTAATGCTCCGGCGACGACGGAGCGTCTGCCAGAGGTATAAATAAGGAGTACAGTAATCATAGAAATGCACCCCAGCTGTGTGCACCGACAAACGAGTCACTAATTACCGAATGCAACACAGCTGAGGTGCAGATCCTGCAGGTCGAGAGGAGAGAAAGGTGAAAGAGAGGCAGGTCGCGCCGAGCGGACCTGACAAAACCAAAGTCAAATACTATAGTTATGATGTTACATAGCAGCCCGCTTCCTTCTTTGAGCATGGTTTTCTTCATATCTCCCACAGACTGTTCTTGAGTGCACATGAATCATTGCTAGAGACCACCTCCTCAAGCAGACTCGGGCATGGTGCCCGAGTCTGGTAAGCTTGTGTTCACACTGATCATAATAAACCGGACTTTGGGGTCAAGTGTACTTGGATATAGGCCCAGGTCCGTAATTTGAAACTACTTTAAATAACACACCTTTACAAGACCCACTAGTTCTGTATTTGAAAAGTCATACCCTTTAAACCTTCACCAGTGTGACCTAAAAACACACAATACAGAACTAGTTGGATAAAAGTTGGTCAGCAGATGTTTTCACTTGACAGAGCAAATCAGCGCTTTCTGAGCTAGCATTACATTAACCTGTAGACCACCGCTAACCCCGCTGTACCTGTGAGTTGAAGACAAAGTATTTGGGTGTGCACATCTCCTCATCATCAGGATGAGATTCAAAGTGGACGCCTGTAGAATGATGAGTGTCATGGCTGCCCAAAACCGCTGAGGAAATGTCATCTTGGGAGAAATCCATTTGTGCCGACTGGTTTTGTATAGAATATAACCCAGGCATATCTGAGGCATTCATGCTGAGGTTTGAGTGGTGGTAAAAGAATGGAAGAGGGCAGGGCAGCTGCGTTTTCTTGTAGATCACCTGGAAAAGAAGTCCATTAAGTTGCGTTATGTACTTCTGAGCAATGTACATAAAAATAACTAACGCAAGAACAGCAAATAAAAAAAATTCAACACCAAACTGGCTGTTTGCCTTAAGAGCTGGACAGTCCTACAACTCAGCCATTTTGGGATTTTATTTTCTAGTCAATAGGGTAGTTCTACACACTAATGTAAAGCTAAATGACCGAAATGCCTTCACAGGTTTCCAAACAGTGCACTCAGACAGTGTAATATACCCTGCGGTTTTCATACTGGAAGCCCTAAACTCTCAGGGAATGGTAGGACAGGGTCAAACATCATGCTTAGCACTCAGCTAATTAGTATATCTAGTTAGCTAATCATCTAAGCAGCATTTAAAGTCATTTAGAGTCTGTAAACCTGCCAAATAAGACCAGTATTCACTCTACTTTTCGCTCTTCTTTGTTTTCCACCAGCTTCAGAAAAAGATATCTGGCCTTTTAGCCACAAAGGGCTCCACTATGTTAACTAGTTAGGAGCTAATAATGTCTATCTACTGTTTGGTGCTGAGTAGGTGCATATTGTGGTTTTATAAAGCCTTTTCACTGATACAGCTGCCAAATGAGGTTCAGGTGAGCACTGAGCATGAACCGAAACAATAAAGCTGAGGGCTGTAACTCCAAAACCATGAGCTGAAAAATACTAACATACTTATTGACATTTTTCTGTGGGATCATCACTACAAGTTATCTTTTTCACATTACGCAACACTTTTGGATTCTCTGTAGACAAATGTCTGGTATGGCATTAGAGGTGTTGCATGATGTCCCTTTCTCTGCCTGAATTGCACAATTCAGTTAAATTTATTTGTATAGTGCCAATTCACAACAACAATTGTCTCAGGGCACTTTGCATAATAGGTATATCAGTACACTATTATAAGGAAAACCCAAAGGAATCCCCCTTGACCAAGCACTTGGCAACAGTGGGGAGGAAAAACTTCCTTTAACAGAAGAAACCTCAGACAGATGGTTTGACACACATCATCTGCATTGTATTTGCTCAGGTTAAGCAGTGGCTGACCCAACTGGCTTGCAATGGCAGTCATCTCTGATAGCATGGTCCGCTCAACTGTCCAACCACTAACACTCAACCAAGATTGTCAAAGGAAGAAAACACTACTAATAACCTCACAGCAGTACTGGAGGCCAGAGCTATGCCATGTAGAGTAACTATATGGCTAGATAGCATATTTCCAAGGTTATTAGGCCCAAATACAATAACTTCAGTTCTGTCGGTATTTATGCCATTTAGACATGCTTTAAGTTTGTCCAATTGATCTGATTCATCTGAGTTCATAGATAAATATAGCTGAGTATCGTCTGCGTAGCAATGAAAATTTATGGTGTGTTTCCTGATAATATTGCCTAAGGGAAGCTTGCATAAAGTGAAGAGAATTGGACTTAGCACAGAACCCTGTAGAACTCCATGAGTAACTTTTGTCTGCGTGGAAGATTCATCGTTAACATGAAGAAACTGGAATTTATCTGATAAATAGGATTTGAATCATATTAGCGTAGTTCCTTTAATCAGATAAATGTCAGATAGACATTTACTGTAGTGTAAAATTTCCCCCACATAGTGTATAATCCATTACTGTAAAGTCAAATGTTATTAAAAATGGTCATACAGGAGACGGTTTTGGGGAAAAATTATTAAGTGTTCAGTTTCGATGCCATATGTCAGAACAAAATCAAGGGTGTGATTAAAACAGTGAGTGGGTTTATTTACAGTCTGAGAAAAAAACAACTGAGTCTAATAATAGAATAAACACATTGTTGAGACAGTCATTATCAACATCTGCATGAAGGTTACCTACTATGATTACTTTATCAATACTAAGCACTAAATCAAAGACATTCTGAGAATTCACTTAAAAACTGAATAAGAGACAGGTGGATGGTATACAATAACAAAAATAACTGGTTTTTGAGTATTCCAATTCTGGTGTAAGAGACTCAGAGTGAGGTTTTCGAATGAGTTATAACTATGTTTAGGGATAGGGTTGATAAATAAGTTTGAGTTGAAGATCACTGCCACATCGAAGGATGTGACAGTTACTGTGACTGGGGAGGTGGATTCATTTGGACTGAACATATTCTTCCTGCTGTAACCAAGTTTTAGTAAGACAGAATAAATCAATTTGATGCTCACTTATCAAATCATTCATTAACAGAGACCACATTTAATAGCTCACATTTGATTGTCCTGTTATTTTGTTTTGTAAGAAAAGTAGTCTTATTTTCAATTAGGTTTTTATGAATAACTCCTCCTTGAGTTGATTTTTCATTTATATAATTTAGGTGGTTGGGAAGAAGACAGAGCCTCTATGGGGTACTGGGAGTTTTGGGTGGGTAAACTGTAACACACTGGTTGTCAGGGGCTAATATCAATGGTGGAGAGAACTGCTAATTACATATTACGTCCTACAGGTGGGAGCCATTCCTGTTAAGATGAAGTCCATTCTTGGCAAACAGATCAGGTCGACCTATGAATGCCACCCATATTGAGTGGCTGTCTGTGCTGAGTGAGAAGACCCAAGGCAGCCGGCTTCGGGGAGTGTCTCTGTCACCTGCTGTGCAGGGTGTTGGCTCCTTGATGGCAGTGGGTATATGGTTGTTGAACATCCCCAGGACCTCAAATCTCTTTTCCAGCTGGATGGCCCTAGATGAGAGAGACTGGGAGTGCAAGGCATTCCCACCTCATTTCCACGAGCGCCTAACTACAGTCTAGGGCTCTGATGCAGCAGGTGTAGAGCAGTCTTGCAGTTTGGGTTTAGCACCCAATCTGGTCCATGGATCATCCTCCTAGTTTCGTTTGATGACCGGTGGCTCTGGCGCTGTTGTAGTAGATGGGCCGCGGTGTTGTCAGCAAGAACACAGGGGCTCTTGGCCAAAAAGGACTCCAGGTAATGCTTCCTCTTGGATTTGAAATTTGATTTTCCATTTCAATCACCTTATGTTTTAATTGGAGACATCCTGTGCAGTCCATTGGAGAAGCGAGTGGAGGCATTTTTAAATGAATAGAAATAGCAGAGACCTGTGATGGCAGGCAGCAGAGTTAAAAGCAGATCGAGGCGTAGGACTGTGTTGTGAATTCTGAACAAGTGTGAGGCCTGCTGTCCCTCATTTCTCACAAAACAACATAATTTTATTGCAGTTTTCCGATCCTGTTTTATCCTGGTGCCTGAGTCCATAAAAGCTGACTGATTACACTGGCCAATAAATGCTGCTAACTATTATTTGTTATTTCAGGAGGTGAACAGCATCATTTGAAAATGAGCTACTTTGTGTGATCTACTGAAATATTTTACATTTGATTTATACTTTAGACGTAAATTGTAGTTTTCATATCTACTCTTGCTTATGTTTGAATCAGAAGTAGTTTCTAATACAGGTGTCCATAATCAGTGATATTCCGTTTTTGTATCAAGATCAATTTATGTCTTAGATTATATTTTGGTATTTTGTTTACTTTTGATATATACATTTAATCTTTGACACATTGTGATAAGTGATAAGATCTAATTGTTTTTGATATTGTTCCAGATCACAGGAGTTCATGAGGTTGATTGCTTTGATTGCTTTATTATAGTAGTCTTTAGTTTTCTTATTTAGAGTTTGAATTATTTGTGTTTGGTTTTTACATAGTTTCATGTACTTCATTTATCATGTTGGCATTAACCATACCACTGAAGGAAATATACATCACCAGTATGTACGATGACCATAACCATGACCATAGGTGAGGGTCGGAACGTCTGATTGTTGATGATTTTGTTTTAAACAATTCTTATGTTATCTTTATATTAATCTTGATTCAATATTTACTCCATATTTTGTACTCACTATATGTTAAAATTGCTGATGTGACAACAGGGTGGTGGTGATGTGGCAATGTTGCTCAGAGGTGAAAGCTTGCAACAAGGCTGTGGTTTGAGAAGAGGCCACAGGAAGGGATAACGGTCCACTTGCACATTCAAGTGTTGCCCCATTAGAGGTCTTAGTTTAATAGGAAGAACACACAGTGCAGACCATGGAGCAAGTTTCCATCCTCTGTGAAGAACCTCCTTTCCATCTGGTTTCTCTTCCTCTAGGAGGAGAGGGTTTTCTACTGAATTGCAAAAACAATTACACCTGCTAATATGCACCAAGGTTTCATGTCAAAAAGGCTAATAGTAAACAACTAGGGTGGCATTATGCATCCATAAAGGAAAGGAGTTTCTTTCGAGTTAAACAATAAAGTTCTTTGGAGTGTTTTCTTTTGCTAGCTTAATTACAGGAAGGTTGGAGTGCTAACGATCAATGGTTCATTACTTGAGGAAGAAGGAACTTTCTGCATGGGTTCATTGTCATGATGAGATGGAGATGGGGGAATGAAAAGGAGGAGAGACGAGAGGTTCCAGGCTTTTGAAAGTTCCTGTCTTTGGACAGTCCAGACATGAGGCGGAAGACTGTTTTAGGCAGTACACCCTTTTTTGTATCTCAGAAAATCAATTTTGTAACTTTTTACATTTTTTTATTAAACTTTTTAAACTTACTCCAATTCAACTGCTGTCTTCGTCAAACACCTCACCCAGGCCCGGGTCTCCCCCAGGCAGAAAGGTAAGAGACCACTGGCGACACATATGGTGATCAGGTTCGGGTGTTTCAGTATTTGTCTCTACTCAGCAGGGAGGTATTGCTCTAACTACACATACCCCAAAAGATAGTGGTTACCATATTGCATGGGACTGGCTTATAGAGGTCATTCACAGAGTGGTCTGTTAGGAGCTGCTTGACTGCAGCAGGGTGATCCTGGCCCAATTCTGAGCTCGATAAGGGAAAGACCCCACAGTCCAGTGGGCAGCTGTTTCTAGGGCATTAAGGGATTGTCACTCCTCATACTTGATTCTCTGGGTATACTATGGTCAGCAAGTTACCGGCGTGAGTAAAGTTGCACTAAAAGGGCCTTAAAGAGTCTCACATACATGTGACATTCATATGCCATCGAGGCATCCCTGTCTGAGTGACTGAGCTTGCGTTTACGCTACAACTGAAATCCAATAAAATCCCAGTAGGACTCCAATGAACTGAGTTATCTTGATTGAGGAAATAAAGCTATCAATTTAAAACTAAGATGACTCAAAAGGGACTTTAAAGGAGGAGGTAGGATGATAAAAAGTAAAGATTTAAAGCTCAAAACAGCACAGCAGCTTCAGGATACACACTTCCACATTAATCATGTGATACAGTTGGACACATAAACATAGAAGTGCCTACTGCCATGCTAGTAAGAGGCTGCACTTACCACTCCCAGAAAGAATACCATGCAGGAAAGAGAAAAACTACTAGTGTAACCCAGGTAGCCTACAGGAGGAGAAAGCATAAGTGATTAACACACACACAACAATACCAGACACCTATATGTTGTTATGCTGTAGTGTGCTATTCTTTAGATCACCCATTTCTAGATTATGACCCATATCAAGAATAGACTAAGAAAAATCAGATATGAGCAGAAGTGAACTGTAGTGATGGTCCAGTGACCAAACAGCCATGAACAGAGATCTAATTCCTGTGAACACCACAGTCATCATCAGTCTCATCTAGAGATGCACAAATTACAATTTTTTTGGCTGATTCAGATTTTTTTAAAGTGTGACCTGCTGATTCCCAAATTTTTTTTTTTTATAGATCTGGCTTGCCGACTTCGACTTTGGCCGATTCCTATTTTCTGTTTTACTTTGCTGTGTTTTACCATGGGTTAGGTACATACACATACATTTCATGTGTAGCCAGTAATTACCTCCTTGTGTACTATTTGTCTGAGATTTGTATGTAGTTTTCCCTTCTCCAAGGTGTTTCTGTAGGCTCCTCTGTGAGTTTTTTGTACACCTGGGGCTTCCAATGTGCAAGTGAACATGTACATGAGCCTTGCTTGAGGTGCATGTGAGATGCTGTGCACTGTATATACTACACTCTTTGTCTGTGTCACTGTGTGTGTGACATGGACTGTTGTGCCTCTAAAGCTGATCAGCACAGAATTGGAAATCTTAGTGTTCAGCCAGTCATCAATAAAGGCCAATCATGCTGAAAACTGGCTATTTCCAATCTTTGCCAATCAATCAGTGCATTTCTGCACTTGTCATTTATTCAATTTTTTGCTTGTTTTGAGCATTATTTGATCATTATTATTGCCTTTATTATTTTTATGTGGGTAAGTGGGTTGTGAAGAGGCAGAAAGAAAACAGGGGAGACAGATCTGTGAAGCTTTGATCCAATTTGCTTTATGTCGAATTGTCTTTATTGGATAATCTGATCTGTGGGCTTGGTGTGCAGTATCTTGGAGCTGAGCTGGATCTGACTCTCGTGTACATAAATTACATCCGAGTGGTAGAGCTGATTAATAACTTATTAGCAGTGTTACATTACTGTAACTCCAAACTACCAGAGCTGAATAAGTGCTCCACTAATGTTACATTCCTTCCGGTTTAACAGAGCTGATTAGATAGCTGTAAGAGCGTGGAAGTACTAAGAAATGTGGCTTAGTCCTTACCTAGATTTTTAAGGAGAGACAAAGGCAGAATGATTCCTATCGACACAAACACCACCAGGTAGTTTCCATCCAGGTACCATTCACTGCCAACACAGCACAAAGGTGAAAATCAGACTGTACACACAAACACAAAAGTATACCTTACCCTCAAAAGCACATGCACTCACCTAGAGTTTTCTTGTAAACCCAAGAAGGCTCGGATCACTTCAGGCAACTCGTACTTCACAATAAAGAGGTAGCTGGACATGGCTGTGGGGCGACATGAATGTGACACAGAATATTTACCTGAGTTTCAAAACTTAATTATATCACACGCAGTCAATAATACACAATAAAATGTGCCAAAGAATGGGAGAGCATTCATATGGATGCTCAGTATGCGAGTTGAATGATGTTTACCCATTATTTGGCTCCACAGAGGGCGGTGTCAGGCCATGCTGTCATAAATCTTCAGAGCCCCATAACAAACAACACTATTTCCCAGACCTAAATTACCCTTAACACAAAGCATCCCTGAATCCTATCCTCACCAAAGCAAACAGCAGATATGTGGCTTGATGCACAGCATCTGCATTATATACACTGTATATAGAAGTTTAGCATAAAATTAATAAAATGCAGTATACTATAGTTTTTTTTTTTTATCAGGCTAGGATGCAAAGAGAAACACATACATTCAATGCCTACCTCCAATATTCTGCATAATTATTGATCCAAATGCTGCTATTTTTCCAGGCCAACCAAATGCTCTCTCTCCCAGCTTTTCATAAATAAGGGACCCTGTCAGAACAGACATATTAATGGAGAAGGTTAAGAACTAGATAAAACAACATGCACATATATTTTGCACTGTCACCAGTTTTGTTTTTATGCAGTAGATTCCTTTAAATGCACAGATAACCTGCTAGGGACAGACTTGTATTCCTAAGTACTAAAACATACTCAATCTGCTCCTACTTCAGTCAGTCTTTTCCTATTTTTGCTCTCTCTTCTGGAACTTCCTGATGCTGATTCTGTGCTTTTAGTTAAAAGGTAGTATACAGTGCAGAGTTTGTACTCCTTTTTTCCTACGTCTCATTGTGTGTTTAGTTAACCTTAGTGTTTACAGATGCTATAACTTAGCTGTTAGCACTTTGCACCCTACACAGTAACAAACAGAGGCACAGTTTTTAGAGATGAAGCTGTAAAGCATACTGCAAAACAGAATCACATTGAAAATTTGAGAAAAGTTTTAAAAATAAACAGCTCTGTGCAGCAGAGCTTTTTTTCCTACTCTGATAACCTGCTTTTGATTTATATTCATCTTGTGACCCCTTGTGGGAGTTCTGACCCCTAGCTTTAGAGTACTAGTCATTGGAGGGCTGCTGAACTCAAAGTAAACTGAAATACCAACCTCCTTCTTTTGCTGTCACAAGCAGGAGATGTACAGAATACAAGGAGAAGATGGCCACAGCGATGAGGAGGGCTCTGCAAAGAGAAGGAAAGCAAAGGACACTGCTAAGTGGTGAAACATCACAGCTAAGTAATGATAGCAAAATACTTTGTGTATGGGGTCACCTTTGGTATTTTTCATTTAAGTAATAGTGAACTTAAAGGAAATAGGGGAAGGACAGAAGTGAAATTAGTAGTCCATAAAACTTTGATGTGATTGCTTTGGCTTAGCCCTGGCAGGTAGGCAAGTGATTTTTAGCATCAGAATGCAGGAGGTTTGTGTTGGCAGTGTTTTAAGAAAGATGCTTGTTACCTTCATTGATAGAAGATGGCAAGAGTTTATTATTCCATTTTTGCTATCATTCTGTAGTAGCTACAGCCATACTCCATTGAGACTGAGTGCAGAGAAGTGACACTTGTGTTTTAGCTCTCTTGTTCCCTGCAACATTGCCAGCTCATGCGATGTCATGCAGCAGGGCATGATTACTGGGTGAAATTGAGGGGTGTAGGGTGACAGCAGTGTTGGATGTTCAAAGTCACCCATGAAAGGTGATAATCCATATGCACAATACAGACAGAGCTTGGTGAAATATGGCAGAAGAGCATAGAGTACAGATACATTACATTCAATGTGGTAGTGCGAGTATTTTTTTTTTACAAGAGTTCCTTCTGTCCCATTGGTTGGTTGATGTCTTATATTGCATGCACGTGACCTTGGTCCCTTGACTTTTCCTTTGGTGCCAACAGCTAAAAATGTTATCATCAACATGCAGGCTTAAAACAAAGCAAAACACACAGCAACAAGAAACTGCATTTGTTCAAAACTCTGTAATTAAACAGCCATAGCCTACAGCCAAAAAAGTAGAGCTGTGGCTTAAAAATTAGTTACATTAAAAACCCTATAAAGGCACAGCACCATAACAGGTAAAATAAGTCCAAGAAAAGGTGAGAAAAGTTGTTACTGTGCAGGGTAAAGTGAAAACGGGCTGACTTGTTAAATAAGGTCTCTTATTTGTAGGCCTTCATACCTCTGTGGATTGTTAAAAAAAATCCTGAATACACAGCAGATACTCAAATGCCTGAACACAAACTGTAGGGACATTAATAAGAAAGCTGGGGATGTTTCTTGCTGTTCATAAGAACTTCAGAATCAGATGTGATGCTTGACAGGGAAACTGTCAGGTTGTGTTCAATGTTTATTCTGTTCCTGTGTTTGGTCTTCAGCTGGACCAGAGCTGAGAAGCCACTTTCAAAAAGATCGGTTGTACTGAATGGCAGGATATTCTTGTTTGCATTGGAGGGATTCTCAGTCATCGTCATTCACCAGAACAGAGCGGCACACCTCAGTGAATTTCCTTGTCAACGTGCCATTACATGATGACTCAAACAAGAGAGCTTCCTCGTTGCTTGGCAACGTGACACTTGCCAAATCAACTCCAAACAGACTGCGCATCTATTCAACATTCCTCTGTTTTTTGGGAAAGTAGTCGTGAAATAAGTCCTGTAGTTTAACGAGAGGCGCCGTTTTTGTCAGTGCAATTTTTCCTGTGGTGTAGAACAGCTGCATCTTGTGGCAAATACTTGGAAACGTGTCAAATCTTCTTAGGAAATGTGCACTGTGGGCAGGTCAATCTTCTTTTTGAAAGCTTCAATTTTTCAGTGTGTTCAAAATATGCTACCGGAGCAAGCCACCCTGCATCACCCAAAAGGGGTGCCAGAGAAGAGTTGGAATCCAAAAAAAAAGTTGCTCTCTCTATTTTAAGTTCATAGATGATGTGACAGTACTTTTCCTCTCGCAAGCTAGTGTATTTCTGCATGGTACAGTACCTGTGCATGTTCACTGCCGAGGTCTTCATACAGCTTCTGAAAACACGTGTTGTTCCTGGGGCTCCTTTTGATATAATTCACTACTTTGATGACCTTTTTCCGTGTTTTGAATAGGCACCTGGCACCATATCATTAGCTTCTAATGCCTCTCTGTGCCAAGTCATGTTTGGTGACCCACTCTACCCCTGAATCATTGCTGAGATGTATTAATGTAATAGAAACCAGTGCTAAGACAACCTTCTGTTGATATCATGGTTTTCATTCCAAGGATTTTTGTGGTTGGTATCTGCATGTCATTATACTGTAGCCTGCACACCCTAAGAAGCATGCTGCGGTTTATTTGTTCTGTCACTGCAATACTTACGTAAATAGAACAATGCCAGTATTTGCCATTGCAAAGGACAAGCCCAGAATGCCACTACCCATGATGGCGTTGCTCAAGTTAAAGACAGACATGCCAAAGGATGTGTGACCTGGGTGCTGTTCAGAGAGAGAAGAAAATTTAGAAGAGAAATCTGCATGAGAACAAAAGAACAATGCTAAAAACAATGATACTAATAGAGAAACAACTTCTTTCAGCAGGGCTTAGATACCAGTAACCTCAGCAGTAAAACATCCACTAAGGAACTGCACAGTATTCCATAGTAGCGCACAACATTTCCAGGAAACTTCTAGCAAAGTCTGAACACCATGAGTGTCTTGTTATCTTTAGCAGTCCTGTCACCATCCGCTGCAGTCCTTTTTTTGTGCTCAAGAGCAAAATTTTAACAAAACATGGTGTCAGGTGAGGTGACACAAACAGTTCTGATCAGCTGACAACCAGGGTGCACATGGTCTGTGCTGGTTATTTGAGATTAACCAAGTGTTGTTAGGTTCTTTAATTTACCTGCAAAAATAACTCAATATTAAAACACATATTATGACTTAACTTGGTATTTCTTTTTTTTTTTTTAAGAGTTAAGCACTTTCTCTGCTAGATCACAGATGTGAATTGTGAATCTCCTTACATATTCTTCATTGTATTCCTCATACTTCTTCTTCTTCATCATCCCATTTGTCAGGAACTTCTGGCTTTCTCCATCCTCATTATCATCTATAAATTGGCTGCAGGGACCAAGAAAGTAAAAGGAAATGAACACAAGCATGCACAATATGCAGTTCCCGTTTTATGTATTTCAACTTTTTATGTTAGATTTTGTGACAAAGATATGCCAGCACCAATAATCACTGAGTTTCTGCCCTGAAGTCAAACCAGCTCTATAACTGGATCAGTACCCAATTAATAAAGTAATTCAAATGAATACTTGACAGATCTAAATAACTATCAGTAAGAAATTAACACCTGAATTTTCTGTTCGTCTGGTCTGTAGTCATAATAAAAACACTATTTAGACTTCACAAAGGCTTCATTTCCATGAACACAATTAATCAGTTTGAAGCAGGAATTCGGAGGATGTGTTAATTTGCAATGCTGTAACAGTACAGTAATACCCAAGTAGGTTACGTGTTGGGATCAGGGTTAGCCCTAACTCCCCTAATCCTGACCCATGCTCTGGCCCATGCCTCTCTATCCCAAACCATTTTGAATCACATGGAGTGTGGAGAGTCCTCGAGATAGAAGTACTTCACCTAATCCTATAGACCCTAAAATCAAGTGTTTGGTGAAAACAAATTAATTGGGCTTCTCTTAATGCCTTATACTGGTCTTATACATATTATCTAGGTGCCAAGGAAATAAAAATCTTGGCATCACAGTTACTGACCTGCTGATGGTAGCCTTCTCAGAGTCAATGGGCTCTGTGTAGCAGTCATCCAGGCTGTTGGTGCTGTCATCATCAGCCTCTGTGGAGACTTTCTTTAGCTCCATACGATCCATGAATCCTGGCATAGTGGTGCAAAGCAGGACAAGAGGCAGCAAAATTCAGCTGTCAGGATTTCAGGGCTTGTTTACAAGGCGATGATGCGTTTCTTCCTCAATCTCTGCTAGACCTTGTTACCTATTATAAAAAAAAAAAGCAGGAAACATTAGGGAAAGTATCAGTGATTAAGATGTTTTTGTAGTTAATTCTTTGGATTTTCAACAACAGTACCTACATTTTAAAGGTCACAGGCCTGCAGATGCATGTAATGTCTGACTTTAGCAACTTCAACAGAGCCTTTTGGCCTTTTAGCCTTGATGAAAAACAAGCTCGTCCATGTCATTTCCTGGAACTGAGGAACTGTTAAAGCTGGGATATGATGCAACCATGGTGCCTCATACAGCTTCATCAATATTAGCAGGGCAGAAGTCTTAATAGCTTATCACTATTTCAGTTTGGCTTGATTTATGGTCTTAACTATATTTATTTTATGACTTTTAGTAAAATCCAGCAAATGTTAATTGTTTCACTTGGATCTCAGTTACAACACTTAAACCAAATTCAACCAACCCCTGAGAATTCTGTGCGACCATGCAATTTTGTCCAGTCACTGTAACTTTTCTACAGATTTGACCAATTATCACAGTTCCCCACAAGTTTCACCCATCATAGCAGTCCCCTGTGTAAAACGTTGAGTCCTACTTCAAACTTACTTCATTTTTTCAGGTTGTGAAGCTGCAGATGTATTTAGCATGTTAATGCGCACTAGAAGATGCTTATTTAGTATGAGAGCAGTGGTAGCAAACTACAACAATGAGCTTAAAGATGGTACAAAAGTGGAAGTACAAGTTAAATTATACTATTACATCATTATGACTGCACATGAAATCAGCATGCTAATGTGGTAGCTGTCCAAAGCAGGACAATTTTATATACAGCTGGGTAGTTTAATCTTTAACAAGAACAGCTTTGGTTTTGCATGTAAAATCTTGTTCTGCAAAAGTAACTACAGACAGGCAAATGGATGGGGGCACTGTGATCCTAGAAGAGGCTTCTCATTTATTCACCTGTCTGTAGTTCACCAGAGTTAATTTTTTTTAATGAAAAATATACATTAAAGAATGTAGTAAATGATAATGTGAAAGACGCATGAATGGACATGAAGTAACTTAATGACCTGCTACATCTATGAAATCATAAAACTGATCAGATCAGTAAAACAGTTTCCTCCACCAGCCAAAATATCTCCTGCACAGGACTTAGCCATTTAATGTATTTCACATTCAGTAACATTCTGTCTCAGGCATTAACGCTTCTTGGAAAAACAGGTTTATGAATCATATTCATCTACCATCCAGAGAATTATATACACAAACCACTGGGGGACAAAAATGCAACACAGCATAGGATCATTTAACATGAAACACTGTGGACGTAGATGTAACATTAATGTTCCTTTCAGTAAGATATGTTTTGTATTGCCATCAATCAGTTCCAGGATTAATGTGAGCAGTCAACCATGAATCATCTCTAAATGTTCGCTGCAAAAATCACACTGTTTTAATGATATCCCAGCGATTTAGCATCACCTTTCAAGCTGAAACCAGTGAAAAGGATTTCAGTACAAATGTCAGTCCAAATTCTGCAGAGCAGAGGAACAAAATAAATGTGAATGAAATAGGCCTCCATGAACCTCACGATAGACAGGAACAATACATGTAACCATGGTAATTGTACACAAACAGGATGAAGGAGATATAGCCTACAGTAAATATTAAAAACAGTTTAAAAATGACAAAAACTAGACTAAAATGTATTTAGTTTTTATGGACTAAAACTAACAAAATTCAAGACTAAAAGTTGGCTAAAATTAATGTGCATTTTTGTCAAAATAAGATAAAATCAAATTCAGGTGTCAAAATTAACATGGTTGATCTACCAGAGATTAAGATGATATATTTCAGTTAACAACCACATCAAACACATCAGTAAACCTAATCTCTCTGCTTTGCTTTTTGCTCTGTGACAATCGAGTTGATAAACTTTTCAATGCCAAGAGGATTAACCTGTCTAACTGGGCTAACTTGACATGTTCCTGCATTTAAGCACCACTGTACAATCATAACATTATAGACGCACATTAGGCAGTGTTTCATGTGCACACAGACTCTGATCTGATTGGATAAACTCCACATACCAAAATATTAAAGGCCACATTTTTGTGTAGGCACAACAAAAAAAAAATTGGTGGCATTTTGGTGACAAGCACTGAACAGATGGTGCACAGGTGGGGGGTTCATTCAAATGAGCTAGTGCAAATTGACATAGAAATCAAACTTTATTATGTTTAAAGCAAGAACATCTTTAAATCAGTCTTCATTGATCTATAAATTATATTGACTAATTCTTACTGTGTCTACAGCCACTTTACAGCATACTGTAATGCTTCTTCAGTTCATTGAATCCATCTGAAGATCAGGACACATACTGTATATTGATAAATTCGCACCCTCTAATTTGTTGTGTGTCCTCAGTAAAAATTCATTAATCACCCCATCCTCTCATTTATAATCCATCTCAGCCAGCCCATTCGCACTTTGCGCTGCTGCACCTACATGAAATCTACTGCACTTTTCTACCTTACCCAGACAAAGCACTTTACCGTTGCGCCCACTCACCCATTCACACACACACTTACACACCAATGGTGGCAATGAACTAATGTAGCAGACTGGAAACATCCATATGGTTTATGCTGCTAAGACCTATTGCTTTGCGCTGGTCATTGTGCTTACACTATTACCCTAAAAGCTAATGAAACAGCTCTAAACAAATGTGACAGTGACAATGCAGAGACGAGAGGAGACGCTAATACTGTATGCAAGCATATGCAACACTGATCTGAGCACTCAGAACCTATTGTATCCTGAGATGCCTTCACACTTTCAGATGTTAATTTCAATGCAAAGTGTGATCAGGGCCACACAACAAAAGCTAGACAGCTATGTTGCACAAATTCTTTGAAGTTTTTTCTTAATCTGCCATACAGCAAAGCTTTTTCAGATTATGGATGATTAATATTAAAAATCTGTAATCAATTAGTCAAATGTACTGCCATGGATATTATAGAATGCAAAGCATGGTGAAATGAGAAAACAGCACTAAGTAATCTAAAATATACTGTACAAAGCAAGTACAAACTGAACTTTGGTCTGAGTCAACAAGAGAGCATGTACATTCTGTCTGAATTTAGGAAATCAAGAACCTTACATACCATCTGAAACTTGCTTAAATAAGAAATATAAGATTTTGTATCCAGGAGATCAATTTAGAACCTCGTCGCCACTTTGAACTCACACGCACTTCATACACATCCTCCGGCGAAACTCTTGCATCAGCCAACAACCTGAGAGCTACATTCTTTCCAGCACAAAAATTCCCATTGATTGTGTTCCTCAAGCACACCCTGCTGCAACCTGAAGGGTGAAATCAAGAAAACGCTTCACCTCCAAAATGGTACAGTTTTTATTAGAAACTAACTGACAACAATTAGTTGTTATTTTTATAAATCTGTCTTAGGCAAGGCAAGCATACTCACTTGCTGAAAACTTCTTTAATGAAGTTCAAAAATAGTTTTTCCTTTTTGAAGAAATGTATTTTAAGAAGGAAGCTAGATGACAAACAAGTACAGAGGTGAGGAATTGCAACTCTTTTGTAACTCAGGTAGGAATGGGGGCATTTAAAAACTAGGAGGGAGGGCCTCTGTCCACCAATGAGGAGAGACAGCTCCCCTTCCAATACATACACACACACACACACACACACACACACACACACGCCAAGAAGCTTCTTCAGTTCTGAACTGAACAGAAGTAGTTCGGATGAAAGGTGAAACATCTTCAAGAATCTCAAGCAAGTCCAGTTGCCCACTTCAGATAGTAGCTAGCTAGATAGATAAGACGGATTAAGTAGATAGATCGATCGATAGGTACCATAACATAGCCAGAACGTTTGTCACCAGACTGACGACACTAGAGTGCATCATAACTATTAAATACCCATGGTCACTTCAAGACATGATCATTTGACATACCATATGACCACCCAGTTTTCTACTGGTGCTTAAGTATACAGGCCAGACATATGTGGACTGATGATAGGTCATGGCTACATTGATGATCACACATGCCTCCTACACTTAAAGCAACTGATTCTATTGTCACTGTGCTACCTCTTCTGTACTTACAAAGATGCACACACAATTATTTGCACACGCAGCTGTACACAGAGTTAGAGGCCCAGGTGCACTCTGGGCAACTGTCAGTGGTTTTGGGGTAGGCTGTGCCACTGGCCAACCAATAGAAGGACACCGTTGTTGGGATGTCGCTGTGTCCAAAGTCATGTTTGTGACAGGGATGGAGTTTTCTCTGTCCACACTGTAATGCTGTCCAAATGAAAGAACATACACATACTGCATGTGATGACCAAACTGCATCACTGCAACACCTTTCAAGCTAATTTATGAAAGCCAAAACAATGGGTGTGAATTGAAATGAACAAAATATTAGAAACCTTTGAGCGTGTCTAGAGAGAGTTCTTATCATCAACAGCCACAAAACAAAAAAATACCACATGAAATGACTGTATCAACACTAAAACTGATGTTGACAAAACAGAATATTTTTTACTACATACCTCAATACAAATAATATGACAATATTTAATCAGTAAATATTTGTGATATTTACCAATGAGACTGTTCATGGAATAGTAAAGTGATATTAAATAGGCTAAACCATTCAGCTTGAACATTCAAATTATTTCAAAAAAATTGTATTAATTCAGTGTTATGCAGTCACATTTAAATGTGTTGAGTCAGGAAACTAAACGGTAGGTTAGCTATTAAATAATCAAAATGTGTTAATTGTGGTGTGTGTAGGTGGGAATGTGTGGGTGTGTAGTTCATGACTTGATGTTGGCCAACACTACATTTAGCAGAAAGCTGCGTTAACTATTATGTAACATTTTCTTGACAATCTGTCACAAGGCAATTAAAAATATTTATTTAAAGAAAAAAAATAAAAGTTTGTTCAGAGGAAAAAAATCTAAGAAAACCAAGTTAAATTAGTAAATACATA